TTTTCATGACATCTTTGAAAATTCATTATTGAACTCTTTGGATGCTTGATATCTTGTTTCCATATTTCACAGCACACCTGTTCTTCCACAAATGCCAACAAATAAAGTTAGGTAAAATAGAAATGAGTAATTTATATACCTGATTAGAAGAAGACAGATTTGTCCATTGTAGCAGCAAACTTCTCAAATCAATATTGATTTGTGTTATACCAAAGGTAGGTGCATAATATTTCCATATGTAATTAGCAAAATTGCCAGTGATTAAAATATGATTGATGTCATCAATGCCTTTCCTATAACAGCAATAGCAATCTGTAGCATTACTTCCAAATTTCTGTAAATAGTCATATGTTGGAAGTTTGCCTCTCAAAGCTCTCCAAATAAAGAAGGCTATCTTGAAAGGAATATGTTTATGCCACACACTGTTATTAATGATATCTTTAGACTTTTTCTTTCTAATAACCTCCCAGGCTGAAGCAATAGTAAATTTACCATTCTCTTCAGGTGTCCAAATAGCAGTATCCTCTATATTAATGTTATACTTGAATTGAGTTTGCATAATATCAGGTACCATAGTTGGAGGAACATATTGTCTAACATATCTTTCATTCCATATACCATTAGTTAGGAAATCTGAAACATGAATGTTATTGAGGCTTGATATATTAATAACCTGATTGGCTAGAGCCTCATTTCCTAACCAATTATCCCACCAGAAACTGGAAGAACTTGAGTGAATATTCCATTTAATGTAAGACTCCACAGCCTGTCTGTTTCTAGTGAAGTATCTCCATACCAATGAATTACAAGTATCATATTTCTTGGCTACAGGGTTAGCTCTTTTACAGTATTTAGCTTTAAGAAATTTGCTCCACAAAGAAATTTTAGTCCTAAATTCCCACCACTGCTTATATTGAAATGCTATACATACATCTTCAAGATTTCTAACACCAATACCACCTTCATTAGTAGGATAGGCTAAAGTTTCCCAAGATGCCCAATGATATTTCTTACCATCTTTATCCATACCCCAAAAGAAATCAGCAATTACATTTTTGATATATTTGAGGGTAGTTTTAGGAGGAGATACAGCAGCTAACAAATGTATTGGAATAGATTGTAATACACGTTTCACTAAACTAATTTTGCCTCCAAAGTTTAAGATTTTAGCATGCCACCCAGAAATCTTCCTGATAATCTTCTCCACAATCCTAGAAAAGTAAATAATCCTTTGACCCCCAACATATAAAGGACAACCAAGATAAGTAATGGGGCTGTTTTGTATACCAAAGCCAGTTTCAATCTTAATGGAGTTAATAATAGCCTGATTAGTCTTGGCAGTAACCATGAAGAAACTTTTATCTTTATTTACCTGTTGATCAGAAATCAATTCATACTCTTCAATAGTTTTAACAATAAGCTGAAGAGATTGTCTATCAGTAGAGGTAAATATAATAATATCATCAGCAAAGGATAGATAATTGATTTGAGTCCCATTGTTGTCCATCTGGAAACCAATATAATTCTGATTATGATATAAAAGGTTAAGCTGTCTTGAAAATAATTCAGCACCTAAAATAAAAAGTGCTGGAGACAAGGGGTCCCCTTGCTTTAAACCTCTAGTAGAATGGAAGAAACCATGCCTTCTTCCATTGATCACCACTGAATACCAATTATTGTTCATTATTCTCCATACCCTGTCAATAAATAATTCTCCAAACCCCATTTTTCTCAGTACCAGGCATGTATAACTCCAAGAAACTCTGTCATAAGCCTTAACCATATCCAATCTTGATGTGGAATCCCAACACTTAATGAAGCCATAAATAATCTGAACCCTTATAGACTTTGTGGTATTCACGAAGGTCTTTGCTGCTAAAACTCAATCATGTTAATTGCTCCAGCTCACGTCTGCCTTATGGTGCATGTCAGGATTTTCACCAATAAGACTGTCTTATATTCAACTCCTTTTCGCCTTACGGTGCCCACTTAGGGTTTTCACCAATAAGACTCTCTCATTTTTATTTCTTTTTACTCACATTTGTCTTATGGTGCCCATTCAGAATTTTTACCTACCCTTAACCAACTTATTCTCCACATATCACGGGTTGATGCAAAGATTATTTTTTTTACTCTAGGTGATGGGGTTGATTTTGAGCTTTGAGATGAGAGACCGAATGAATACACAAACGACTTTTGCCCCAGTATACTACAATATGAATTTTTGGATTTGGATTTGGTTGAACCGAACCCAATACTAGGGCTGCCTACGTATCTTGCCGAAACAAGAATCAGGTCAAACATAGTTCAGGCAATTTGTTTTTGTTTTTTTTTGTTGTTATTTTTTTAAAAAAAGTCAAGGACACAGCATAACCAAGAGATCCCGTTGAATCAAACCTTGAAATACCAAGCCCAAACATAAGGGTTTCTAATGTCGAAACTCAATCATATGTAGTATCTTTTCACAGCATCAGCATTGACGACCGTTTCTGTCACTTTGCCTTCTATATCTGCTAAGTAAAGAGCACCATTGGGTAATACCTTTTTAACAACGAATGGTCCTCTCCAATTTGGAGAAAATTTGCCTTTGGTTTCAGCATGATGTGGTAAAATGCGTCTCAACACTAATTGACCCTCTTCAAAATGTCTGGGACGCACCTTTTTGTTGTATGCCCGTGCCATTCTTTTCTGATATAATTGTCCATGACATACTGATGTCAGACGCTTCTCATCAATCAAACTTAATTGCTCTAACCGAGTTTTGATCCATTCATCATCATCAATTTCAGCCTCCACAACGATTCGTAAAAATGGGATCTCAATCTCTGCAGGTATAACTGCTTTAGTCCCGTATACCAGTGAATATGGGGTAGCACCCACTGACGTACGGACTGTAGTGCGATAACCCAACAAAGCAAAAGGCAACTTTTCATGCCATTGTCGAGAACTTTGCACCATCTTACGAAGTATCTTTTTTATATTTTTGTTTGTAGCTTCTACAGCCCCGTCTGCCTTTGGGCGATACGGAGTTGAATTTCGATGCTCAATCTTAAATCGGTAGCATACCTCTTGCATTAAGTGGCTGTTGAGATTTGCGGCATTGTCAGTTATAATCACCTTTGGAATACAAAAACGACAGATGATGTTGAAATGGATGAAATCAACCACGACCTTCTTGGTCTTTGATTTGAAGTTACTGCTTCCACCCACTTTATAAAATAATCAATGGCCACCAAGATGAACCTGTGACCATTCGTTGCTTTTGGTTCTATCGGTCCAATCACATCCATTCTCCATGCCACGAAAGGCCATGGAGCCGACATTGCATGCAACTCAGAAGGGGGAGAATGTATTAAATCACCATGTATTTGACATTCATGACATTTACGAACAAATCGTATGGAATCCCGCTCCATGGTGAGCCAATAATATCCTGCTCAAAGTATTTTTTTGGCTAGAACATATCCATTCATACGAGGTCCACAAACTCCTGAGTGTACTTCAATCATGATTGTGGAAGCCTCTTGAGCATTTACACACCTTAGAAGACCTAAATCGGGTGTCTTCTTGTACAGTATGCCTCCGCTTAAGAAAAAACCCCTTGCTAGTCGTCGAATAGTCCTTCCTTGATTACTAGTTACATCTGACAGACATTCTCCAGACTGAAGATAAGTTTTGATATCATGAAACCAAGGCTTACCATCAAATTCCTCCTCAATCATGTTGCAATAGGCATGTTGATCATGAATTTGTATGTATAAAGGGTCGATATGGGCGTCATCAGGGTGTTGGAGCATCGAAGACAAAGTGGCCAATGCATCTGCAATCTCATTGTGCATTCTGGGAATATGTCTAAACTTTATCGACACGAATCGTTGACAAAGACCTTGTAAACAATGTTGATATAGTATCAGCTTTGGGTCTCGAGTTTCCCATTCTCCTTGAATTTGATGAACTAGTAAGTCTGAGTCTCCTAACACTAACAATTCTTGGATGCCCATGTCAACAGCTAACCTCAGACCCAAAATGCACGCTTCGTACTCAGACATATTATTAGTACAATAGAATCTAAGTTGGGCTGATATAGGGTAATATTCCCCTAATTTAGACATAAGAACAGCTCCTATTCCAACTCCTTTCCTATTAGAGGCACCATCAAAGAATAACTTCCAAC